CCTTAACCCTCAGTTTGTTTTGTGAGATTAAGAGTCACTTATGGTTTGTCTCCCTCCCAATCCCATCTTGTTTCATTTACTCTTCTCCTACCACCTTAACCCCCCATGTTGCATCTCCTCTCCCTCATATCAGGGAGATCATATGATAGTTGTCTTTCTCCGATTGACTTATTTCGCTAAGCATGAATAAATCAATCTTTTTTTAAAAAGGCATGTAAAGGGATGTCTGGGTGGCTCAGTCGGTTAAGCGGTTGCCTTTGGCTCAGGTCATGACCCCAGGGTCCTGGGATCGAGTCCTGCATTGGGCTTCCTACTCAGCGGGGAGCCTGCTTCTCTCTCTCCCTCTACCTGCCACTCTGCCTACTTGTGCTCTCTGTGTGTCAAATAAATAAATAAAATCTTTTAAAAAAGGCATGTAAAACTAACAAATTAGAAAGTCATTTTGCATAACAAATGCAAATTCCCGAATAATTCCTTTAAATAAAACCTCACATGGATTTTTATGATTAATTCTGCCTTACTAAGCCATCTGACAGAGAAAGTGTGATTAGGCACCTAAAGCCAAGGAAGTCTCCCAAAGAAATCTCTGTGAAGGAGAGTTGAGCAGCAACAGGGGACCTGGCACAGGTGAGTGCAAAGTGACACCCTCTCTGGATGTATTTCTAGAGAGAATGATACAATAAAGGACATTAGAAGAACCTTGGAGTGTTGAAGCATGTAGCACAGGGCTTCTTCGAAGTACTCCAGGTGTATGCTGTCAATTTCCTTGGAGAAATCTTTGAAGTTATAATAAGCTAGAGCCAACGTGGCAAAACCATGACCAGCCAAAAGGCTTGCTCGATATTCCCACAGGCCCCCTCCAAATCCAAAGATGTCAATGATCCCTGGGAAAGGTCCAGGTCCTAGAAAAAGAACAATATAAAGGAAAGGTATTATATAATTTAAATAATTTGCTTTCCTTTTCGAGATCTATTTAGTGGGTTCCTATGAGTCAAAAGGAAAAAGACACAGCTCCCTGAGTTACTATGCAAAAGGAATACAAATACCTTAGAAGGAAAATCTACAAGGTACCTTCACATCAATGAGTTTATCCTCCATATGATTCTATAAATTATCTACGAGGTTCTAAGACTCTTTAGTTATCAAGGAGAGTAATAAAGTCTTTCATCATTGACTACATCATGGAAGGAGGGATTTCACGTTTTATTTGGTGTTGATTCATAGCGTTCTGTTAGGGGACTGGACATAAAATCAGGAATCTTGAAATAAAGCTATAGGTTGTGTTGCATTGACCCTTGGCTTTGTGTGTGTGTCTACCGATATTTCAGATGTCTATTTAGAGAGAGGAAAGAAAAATAAATATCCAGAGATGGCTTCAGGTGAGAAAGTCGGCAGAGTCTGAAGTGTAATCCGTGGTACAGTGAGGCATGAAGAAGTGGAGAGGAGGCCCAGTGTACCCAGGGCACTACAGAAGGGTGACGAGGCAATAGCTTTCTTGATTGATAGGGCTGATGAGATCTGTAGTTTATTGATAACAAAGTGGCCCACATACCTACCCATCCTGACACCCCTTTTCTTTAGCCTGCGCAATAACAGTACTCACCTCATTGAGATATTATGGAGATTAAACCATATAATGCAAGCAAAACGCGTAAGAGGCCAACACGTCAAAATACTCCATTTTGCTTTTTTGGCTACTGGCTTCCTCACTGTCAGCTTCTCCGTCCTAATTCTGCCTGTACCGGAAACCACTGGATGCCAGGGCACCCAGCCGCGCGCCCCCTAGCAACCCACACTCACCAGGGGGCAGGAAGAGCGTGGCGCGCACCCGGCCCGCGCGCACCGGCTCCCGCCGCACGCCCGGCCGCAGGAAGTCGCGCTCGTGCACCGTCCGGCCCAGCACACGACCCGCGTCGGGCTCGTGGCCGTCGAGCACCTCCAGCTCCACGGCGAAGGGCGTCTGCACGTCCCGCTTCACAAACCGCCAAAGCGGCTTTTCCGACTCCATGGCCCAGAACAGCCCCATGGGCTCGAGCCCCACGAAGCTGCCGCCCAGCGCGAGCGCGCGCGCCAAGTCCAGGAGGCCGCCGGCGTCGGCTTCGTACCGCGCGTGGGCCCGGAAGAGCGCGCCCCTCTCGTCGCGCAGGGACGAGCGCAGCGTGACGGGCTGTCGCGGGGCCAGGCCGCGCACGGAGATGCGCACGGGCTCGTCCCAGCTGCAGCGGCCCGCGGGCTCCAGGACCACCGTCACCATCCCGGCTGCGGGCGGCTGCCGTCCGGACCTGGAGCAGGAAAGGCGCAGGTCGCTCCCGGCCGATGTCTGGTCCGGGGCGGCCGAGTGTGCTTCGCAGGCCCGACCGGGTCAGGCGTCCAGTGGCGCAGGAACGGTGGGTTGTGGAGCCGCGTTAGGAGGCGTCTGGGCGCTTCACATCCCAGGGCCTGCTCACCCGGAACTCGTCTGAAGTAAAAGCAGCGGGTTGTCCTCCCAGCCCGCGTGGGGCGCGGCGCGGGCTGAAAACTGGGCGTGGTCCTGAACCAGCTTCCGGAACGCGGCCCTCCTTCGGGCGGTTGTCTGCCTTGGAAGTCAAAATAAGTCACTAAAAAATTTAAAAAAAAAAAAAAAAAAAAAAAGATTTGCCCTATTCCGTGGAGGGC